GGTTTATTCGCTTTAAACCAGCTGATAGAAACATATATATATATATATATATATATATGTCTTGTGCAGAGTTTGCATGTTCTCCCCGTGTCCGCGTGGGTTCTCTCCGGGTGCTCCGGCTTCCTCACACCATCCAAAGACATGGAGGCTAGGTTAATTGGTGTCTCCAAAATGTCCTTAGGTGTGGATGTGAGTGTGAGTGGTTGTTTGTCTTGTGTGGCCCTGCGATGGACTGGCGACATGTCTAGGGTGTACTGCGCCTTTCACCCAATGTCAGCTGGGATTGGCTCCAGCCCCCCGCGACCCTGTACGCAGAATGGATGGATAATTTGGGGAAGCCCGGCTTCCGTTGGCTTCCAAGTATGTTCACCAGCAAGTCTGGTGGTGGGACTTTTTGCTGAAAACGGCTGCCTGCTGATGAGAGCAGTGAGAGTGAATCAAAACAGTGAAGTTGTAGGCCTCAAAAAACAAAACAATGAATTGCTTTGTAGAGGAACTGCAGAGTCAGTGGATAATTCACTATGGATTTGTGACTGTGATGACCCCTCTTACGTCACACCTTGTAATTTGATCCTATGTTTTTATTATAAAACGTATTTCTTAAATATCTGAACAAACACTAAATGTCATGACTGACAATCTCAACTGGGAAAAAAACACCACTGTCAGCAATGATTGCATCACTTGGTGATGTGTGGTGGCTACATCATGTGTTTATGCTGAAGCTTGTTTTTCTGAACTGTGATTACAGCGACACCTCCGAGGTTAAGATGGCATCATCTGAGACATATACATGCAGGTGTGAAACTTCCTGTCTAGGTTCAGCGCTCCATCATTAGACAGCTAATAGCCTGCATAATGATGCTCACAGAGAGGCAGATTTAATCTTGTGGGAATTTACGTTTGTGTGTGTGTGTGTGTGTGTGTGTGTGTGTGTGTGTGTGTGTGTGGTATGGGTCTCCCAGTGGCCACAATACATTAGGGAAAATTCAGAGATCATGTGGAGTAGATTATAATTTTTACCATCAAACACTGATCTGTAGAGAGATATGTTTTTGCACTTAATTTGAGCTCTGCTCATTAAGTCATTCACATCAACTTTGTTTTATTTTGCTGAAAACTTAAAATTATTATTATTATTATTCACTAGTAACATGTTTAGTGCTTCTTAAGTTGGCATACTTTGCTTCATTTGTGACCTCTGCACTCCATGTGTTCTAGGGGGTTCAAACATCTAGTTCTTAGGTGCCAGTATTATGCCAGTAAATTTTAAAACATTAAATAGAAAGTAGAATATTAAGTATACTATCACTATATTTACAGGTCACACATTATTTGGATAGTCAATTTGTGTTGTAAAGTGGTGAAGGGAACATTTTGGTCACATGAACAAGATGAGAAGATATTTTAACAGTAGGGTCCAAGAGTATTAAACACTTAATTTCCTGCATTCTGGAGACATTTCCTGCACCAATCAATGGTTGAAATGTCTTTATTTATATGAAGGGAAACAAAATTAAGGTGGCAGGTGACAATTCAAAATTTAAAAATATAATGGAATAAAATGCAGTAATCAGCTTTTGGACAATGAATTTGTTTCTTCTACATTTCAATTACACTGCATGTTTGTTATTATGCATTGTTTCATTTGTTAGTTTACATTTTTGTTGTAAATGGAGACTTTCTGATTCTGACCTGTCCCCAGCATCCCCAGTGTAAATGACACCTATATGTCAATATTTTTAAATGTCCCGCTCCATCCAGGCTATGATTGGTCGGTTCACAAAAACTGACATTGACGAGCTACATTCATCACATGACTGCTTGAAAGACACCCGAGCTTCTCTTGTTCCTCGTCTCCTGCTGACAGAGACTAGCAGGCAGGCGAGAACTGGAACAGGTGAGGTCAGGTAGCGCCCAGAGCAGAGGGCTGAGGAGAGTACCGGCAGCTTGGGAGAAGTCCCGGTAAGAGTTAAATGTTGTGGTGCCGCTACTGTGTCCCGGTGCGTTCCAGCCCCTTTAAGCACTTTCTTAAAAGTATTTTCTTATTTTATTCTTGTAATTCTGCAGAAGGCATCAAGGGAAGGACCAAAATGCAGACCGGCCAAGAAAACTGGAAGACCCCCACCCCACCTAGGGTACAAGGAGGTGAGATTACATCTGTTATCACCAGATTACAAATTACAGTTTTGGCTATCCATTTCTGAAAATGTATCCTCCCTAACGTCAATATATTTTGAGCTAGATGTACATCTAAAAATTTAATAGATGCAAAAAAAATATTCCTCAGCATAAAGGCTAATATAATATGTATGCAAATAATATAATGTCAAATTGTTCTGTTGGGTTTACCATATTGGTTTATAATCATATTTCATAATGTTTATTTAATTCAGTTCATTTCAGTTAATAACTGTCAACCTGGTGGAATTTGATTCAAGTAAAGCGTGTGATAGTTTGGTTACAAAAGCCACAATATAAAAAACAGTAGAAATGCTTTTGATATGTTGCGTTGTTATTTTTACTGTTACAAAAAAAAGGTTTCCTGAATTTTTGAGCTGGGTCATTTGTTATTTAGAATAAATCATAAACTGTTATCCAATATGCTGTGATTGATTCATTACAAATATATGTATATACATAAACAGTTTATATTGAAATTGTGTGCTACGAGTGTGGGCTGACGAATCTAAAAAATGCCTCCAAAAAAAGAGGCAAAACAGGAAGACAAATATGTGACAATCGCCAGTGTAAATGAACAGCTGCAGCAACAGAAACCAATGTTTACTGCCCTACTGGAACAACAACACAGCAATTTTAAAGGCTTTGTCAAGCTAATAATGGACTCCACTAACATTAGACTGGAATCAATAACCAGGGAACTACAAGAAATAAAAACCAGCCTGCAATATACACAAAAAGAAGTGGATGACATTAAAACTGAGACAGCAAATCTGAAGGAACGTCTAGCACTCGATGCAAACAGATATTTTTAAAGTCTGTGATAGCTTGCTGGCTGTCACGGACAAAATGGAGTATCTGGAGAGTTAATCCAGGCAAAATAACCTGGTATTTGACAGGATACAGGAGTCACAGGGCAGAGACGGAGGAGAAGGTGAAAAAAGTCGTGAAGGAACAATTACAGCTGCAACGCGAGGTGGAGGTGGAGAGGGCCCAATAAAGCTTACAGAGCTCTGGGTCAATCTTCCTTTCTCTGACAAACAACAAGCTGTATCAGTTCATGAAGTCTGACCAGCTATCTCTCCCTGACCCAGTGTTTTAGTATACATCATCACGTCATAAAAAATAATAATAAAAATAATAAAACAAAAGTGTGGGTCAGTCCGTGATTGGCCCATGTCCTCTGACCCCAATGTTTGTCCTTGACTCCACAAATCACCATGCTGTTGCTGGGCAGCGTAGTTCCTGAAATAAGATATCTTGGAGAAGAAATGTTTTGTACCACATTCCAAACTACCCCTCACCCATTGTTCCTAAGTAAGTGTCTTTATCTGTACATGTTAACAATGAGTACTCCAAGCACGCCAAAGTTAGTCATGGAGTTCCTCAAGGATCTGTCCTCGGACCAATCCTCTTCACTTAATTTATGATTCCCTTAGGCAATATTATCAGGAAATATTCCATAAACTTTCAGTGTTATGCAGATGATACTCAGTTATATCTATCGATCAAGCCAGATGAAACTCAGTTAGCTAAACTTCAAATGTGCCTTCAGGATGTTAAAACCTGGATGACCTGTAATTTTCTAATGTTAAACTCTATCTAAATCTAAAGATATAGTTTCCCTTGATGGCATCGCCCTGGCCTCCAGCACCACTGTGAGGAATCTTGCAGTTATCTTTTACCAGGACATGTCGTTTAAGTCTCACATTAAGCAAATTTCAAGGACTGCCTTTTTTCACCAAGTAATTTTGCTAAAATCAGGAATATTCTGTCTAAAAGTGATGCAGAAAAATGATAAAACTTAGAGTTAGGGCTGGCTCAGGTGAGTCCTGAACCATCCCTTAGTTATGCTGCTATAGGACTACATAGGGATTTCCTATGATGCACTGAGCTCCTCTCTCCTCTTCTTTCTCTCCCTCTGTATGCAACCTCATCCCATTATTGCATGTTACTAACACAACTTCTCCCCTTTCCGGTAGTCTTGTGCTTTCTCGTCCCTCTCCTCTCTCCTCCTATCACTTCCTGCAGGTGTTTCTGGCTCTGGAGCTGTGGAGTCTGGATCTGTGGCTGCGGGTCACCTGCTGCCCCCGTGTTCCTGCTCGACACCCTCTGCTGCAACGACTATTGTTACTAGTCCTATTGTTATTATAATCATTAACATTACGATTATTATCATTAACACTACTATAAATATCTATACCATTTTTCATTTAGTCTATAGCAACATCACCTTTACTGTCTGTACCTCTGTGTGTGCATATTATGTACTGTATAGTACACTACTTAAAGAGAGTGAAGAAAGACATATGACTTTTATGTTTTATGTTTTACATCAGTGAAAACATTTGTAGAGCAGATCTCATTTCAGTCACACCACAGCCTCTCTACAGTATTTTGGCCTCACAGGAGCCAGGCTGCAGAATCTGAAGAGCAACAATGAGTTTAACAGATTTTCTAAACTAGGGGTAGAACATGGCATAAATCACAGGGTATAGACATGAGTAAAAATAATACAGATCGATCCCAATGATTGCAGAAGAAGTACTGAGCAACCCATCCCCTGCAAGAGACACACAGTAATATGGGAATAAACATATTAGGAACACAACTACAAGAACACCAAGAGTCCTGGCTCTGGCTAGTCCTGGCTAGCAACATATCAATCGACTGAGATAAGCACCATGTCTCCTACTGAGGCAGAGGTAATGATATACACTACATACTTGCAAATGATATACACTACAACACACGAGGTCACCAAGAAACCAGCAGGATGTTTTTCTAAGGATTTCTCCCGGCATCAGCAGGAGGCCCACGAGAAAGTCTGAGACAGCCAGAGAGAGGAGGAGGATGTTGGTGGGTGTGTGGAGCTGCCTGGAGGGAAAGAGGAAAGTATCATTACACACAGAATCACACAATTGTACTAGCTAAAAGTACATTTATACAATTAAAAAAAGCTAAAAGTACAATTGCCTGAAGTGGGAGACTGAGATGATGACAAGCAGGTTGAGAGCCACAGTGAGCAGAGAGATGGAGGACAGAAGAGTGTTCAGAAATACAGCTTCAGACTGAGGAAGTGTCGGCTTCCTGCAGGAGGAGTTGAGGAGTTGTGGAAAGCAGAGCTCTGCTCCGTCATCAACCTCCATCAGACAGTGAGATGAGGAAAAGAGAAGCTGCAGCTCTGGCAGCTTCTGACCAGAACGCTTTATCAAACAGTTGATTTATCTCTTTCTGACACTCAGTTTGTCCTTCCTCTCCTCTCTCTCTCAGTCTCTGTTGGACACTGATGTCCCTCCTCTCTTCTTCATATCACACCATCATTACCTTCATCACTGTTTCCTCCAATTCTGCCTTTGTATGACTCACCTTCTATTGTCAATCTAGTAGCTTAGGTTTGGTTATGATCAAATATCAAAGAGGAAAGCTTTATTTTTTTCTGACCGCTGTTTATTGCTGTTTAGACAATATATTGCTGTTGGACATGTGTATAGTCTACCTGTAAACTGTTTGGCCCTCATACGTAAGTTATCACCTGTTTAACTGTATTGAACAAGGCTCCAGACTGCGACCGTTTTGGCAAACTACCGTAATCCCCCTGCCCCACCGCTAATTGTTCAAAACAGTCGCTCTGTGGCAGCTCGTAATACAAAAACACGAGAGATGTGTCGTCAGCTGAAGTGGTGAGACAGAAGGCAGCAGGCAGAAGATAATGAAGATTTGTGTTTGGCTAGTTGGACATTTAGCTCTATCAGGTGCCTTTTGTTGAAATGTTCATGTCGATGAGCTCTGCGATCAACCAATCACAGCCCGGATGAGGTGGGACATTAAATAAAGTTTGACGTGCTGCAGCAAACTTTCAAATGTTGAACTGATTGTTCTGTTACCACTTAGCATTATCAAATTAAGAGACTAACTCAACCACCATGTGGAGCATTTTTCTTGCACAAGCATTTAATGAATCAAAACTAGCCACAAAATTTTTTATTTTACTAGTGTTAAGCTATACAAGATTACATGATTAATATTTTAATATTATACTAACAGTATATTATTAAATTAACATTATACTTTCATGTTATAATATTATATGTTGCCACACATACTAGTTCCTCCTCCAGGTTGTGCATTGAGCCTCTGCAGTGCACAGATGTAGATTTAGCCACAGCCAGGATAGGGACCAGGTGGTTACAGTACAAGGAGGATTGCAATGCTGTATTTATATTGTAGGAAAGGTGGCCGATGTGCAGGCAACTCTAACCTTGGTACCGGGTCAACACAGTTATAGCTTAAAACTTTGAAGGTGCACAACGAAAGTAAGAATCATAAAACTTGCACGGACCAATGCATTACCCCAAACACTGGGCCCCTTCCCCTTCTTATCTGTGGTCACTGATTAATACCTGTACAAAAAAAAATGAAAAGGATGCAACTGAGAACTGAGAAAATTGGTAGCACCAGTGCTACAAGTGGAAAAGTTGGTCTCTAGCTGTGTTTAATGCTTAAAAGTAACCGGATGTTGGATTCTTAGATAAGTCTCCCCTCCTTCGACTCTCGCCGCCTACGTTTTTCTTTTCAGGTAGTCGCCTATAACTATTTTACATTAAGGTTAAATTCAATCACTGACCGTCACAACCAGCTGTTTTTACAACATATGCACAAATAGCCACAGGCAACTGCTCTTAATAGGGTTAACTGACCATGTGGGTAGATTGTCACACGATGATCCAAAATGGTGAGTAGGCCTAGGAAGTTTAAATAAAAGGGTAAGAGCCAAAATGAAGGACGCACCTTACCTGTCCTCACTAAGATAGCATAGAGCACTACTGAGTTAGGCTGCCACTGCCCGTTCCAAATGACTGTGTATGTGTGTGGATATGCATAGGACCCCTAGGTGTGTGTGTGTGTGTAGGCTGGTAAAGGAAGGGAGAGGAGAAAAGGGCGCAAGGTACATGAGATTGTACTTGCAATGGCAAGACACTAGCCTTTCTCCTGGCTGCTCTGTCGATGTGGTGATTGAAAACCAGGCAAGCCAGCAAATTTCTCATCGGCCGCCTTGTTAAGGGAGAGGACTGTTTGTGTAGCCTAAATAAATGTTTTAACACAAGCGGAATGCATTTGGTTTACTCTCCTCTCAAACGGGGGAATCCAAATTAGAACCTGGGTCATGCCATCTTGCGTGTATGTCCCCCTCCAGCCAGTGACATCACTACTCTGGAGGGCTGCCCCTTCCTGCAGGTAAGTTATAAATGGGTGGAGCTCCGGTGCCCCCTTGCTACTGGTGCACAAGCGTTTTGTGAAAGTGTGTTTTTTACCCACCAAACAACATGCTTCAGCTTCATCAAAAGGAACAGGGGTTACGTACTGTAACCCAGATTCTATCAGTATAGGCGCAGCCCTCTAAGGCTATCGCTATTGGGTTTACCCCTTCCGTGCTTGCACGGAACTGAGAATTTTAGTCTACGCCCACCCACAGCGTGGGCCTCTCCTACGTCCACACTTTGTATATATACACACACAACGGTGAGGCCCAGCCGTCGACTCCCAAATGCCTTTTCTTCAGCACTGAGAACCAAGGTCCAGTGAGGCCTTCAACTTAGAGGGCTGTGCCCATAATCTGGGTTACAATACGTAACCCCTGTTCTATTTCGTATAGACTTCGCACTCTAAGGCTATCGCTATTGGGTTAGAGGCGAAGCAGGATGAGTCAACGCATCACAGGCCCATACGGTACCACCAAGCACAACTCTCTTGCCCATAGCCATAATGAGCCACCCAGTCGCCTGCTGACCACGGCATTGGTGTCGGCGTGCACACGAGCACCGATGGCGCGGCATGGGAAGCCGAGGGCCGACCCATGCGTAAGTTGGGAACCTGGGTGGGGAGCCCCGCAGCTGTACAGACGCAGGCGGGGTCACGACAGCAGCCGCATCAGCTGCGCATAAGGCAGGGCCATGTAAGCAGCGGCTGCCACCGCACATTCACAAGGAGAATCACTAAACGAAAAACACTCAGTACTGAGTGAGTCAGAGAGAAAAGGGAGACATCCCGCAGGTAGAAACTGACGAAAGAGCATGGGGATGACCAGGAGGCCGCTGTGCAGATGTTGTCCACTGTCATCCCACCGTGCAATGCCACTGAGGAGGAGACTCCTCTCGTGGAGTGTGCTCTGATGCAATTCAGGGGAGATTCACTGGCAGACACGTAAGCCTGGGAAATGGCATTGCAGTGAGACAGGCGCTGCGAACGGCGCCAGGCGGCTGTTCGCACCGGAGAGGAGGTGGGACGTGGCGTCCTCCACCGACCCATGGGGGGGAGGAAAAGAACCTGATGACCCGCGACCGAAAGGAGTTTGTAATGCTTTTAGGCATTAACGTGACATGACGAAATGGCGGCAGTGTAAGTTTTAACTGTACTGAACGCCAGCCCCCCATTCATGAGCAACTGGAGAAACGAAAGCACTGCCTGCAGCGGACAGGCGACAGGGTCCGTCCCCTGGTCCAGACACTAGTGTTGGAAAGCCGACCACTTAGAGTAGTAAGAGGACAGAGTGGAGGGGGCCCTCGACCCCTGGATAGTGCGAACCACCTCCCAGGAGAGACCTTAGCCCTCCAGGCGTTGCCTCTCTGGGTCTGGACGCTGAGAGGCGATGCCTGAAGGACTAAGGTCGGCAGAGGAGCGGTTAACTCCTGATCGCACCCCCCGCCTGAGAGAGCGTCCCTGCTCCAGGGGAGTTTGCTGGTGGGGCAGCCGCTGGAGACAGGGAAAGCAGGACGCGCTGGTGCGCTCCGGGGCCACCAGAGTCACTACCAAGGTTGAAAACTGCAGGTGATCCAGAAGGCACGGGATCAGCCGCACCGGCGGAAAAGCATACAGTAGCCGGGAGGCCAAAGGGGGTGCGCAAAGGCGTCCACTCCCAGAGCAGGGACGTCCCGCGGGCTCAGTGAAAACCAAAGGGAGCACTGAGCATTCTCCTTTTTGGCAAACAGATCCACCTCTGCCCTGCCGAACCGAAGCCAGATCTGGTCGCCAGATCGGGATGGAGGTGCCACTCGTCTGGGCGAGGGCCTCCCCTCGACATGATGTCCGCCCCTCTGTTCAGCATGCCAGGGATTTATTCTGCTCTGATGGAGAGCAGGTGAGTGTGCAGGTGAGTGTGCCCTGCCACAGTCTGCCAACCACCTGAGAAAGGCAGGTCCTGCCCCAATTCATCAGGGAGGTGTCGGTGAAGACTGAGAAATGGCCGCAGCTTGTGGAGCAACGTGGGCACACGGGGTCTCCCTGGCCGGCTGATCCAGGCAGACCGCATGTGACCGTCGTGTTAGCTATCAGTTAGCTCAATGTTAGCTCCCTGTTAGCTTGCCTCGCCACGGCAACCTAGTAGCGTCGAGGCCGGCGTCATCGAAGGTCGGAATGTGGGAAACTCGGAGCCACTCGGAGACCCGTGAATGGGAAGAGTGGAGCCATCCAACTCCGTCGACAAGCTATCCGCCCGGCGCCGCCACTCTTGTGGAGAACGGTCAGTGCGAACTGTGAGTAAGCGCTCGGCTGGCGTGCTCCGGTCCGAGGCACGCCTCGCAGTGGGGACGGAGATCACCCAGCACGATGTAGCTCGTGTGGCAGACGCCGCGGCGTCTCGCCCCATTCTGGCCGGCTTGCTGGAAAACATTGTTCCTCTTGTTTTCCGGCTGGAAAGTCTTTTGTTCTTTAGACAGCTCAGTGCTGAAGAAAAATGGGAGCCGATGACGGACGTAGGAGAGGCCCACGCTGTGGCTGGGCGTAGACTAAAATTCTCAGTGACGCGCAGGTGCGCGGAAGGGGTAAACCCAATAGCTATAGCTATAGTCAGTGTCACACTGAGTTAAATTTCGTTTTGTGGCTTTTCTATCAGAATTTGCCTCCTTTTCTTCATGCAGTCAGTATGCATTAATATTAATGAGGGGCGTTTCACTGACCATTTACAGGCAACTATGGGCGTTTGAAGGGTCGGATATGGAGCTCCCTCACATGCGCCACATTTCAAGTTGATTGTGATTCATAAAAGGAACTTGCTTACAGAGGTGCATACGCACGGTTTTAGAATTTTTGGCTTTAGGGAGTACGTACACTTTTAGTGAGGATTCTACGCATAGATTTGTAAATGAGACCC